CTCCATCTGATACTACACGCAGCGTTTTGCAAAATCATCTAAATTTTTGTCCCATATTATCTGGTGTGAAAGGCAATGAGAGAGCAGATGCTCTGGCTGGCATTGCGACTATCAGGAATGGGCCATCTATGGACAGGAGAGACGTCATCAGTGCCAAAGGGGAGACAACACTGTGAGGCTTTCAGTTTCATGGAGAATGAATTTTCACTGAATAGACTGTACCAATTAGAGCTGTGATGGGAAACCATTCTGGAGCCACCTGCTATTTATCCATGTCGCTTCATATCCCCTTATTTACACAGCTATCGTTCTCTCACTCCCCTGTCGTGTACCCAGCACATGGGGGCGGGGTAGGTATATTCTTTTTTCCCCATGCAATGCGACCCCAGAACCCATACGTGCAATAAGAGCATATAAGGAGAACAACTGTTTTTCTGCATGACGACATAAATAATTGTTGAATACTCTCAAGGAAAAGTCGTTACACTCCTGAAGGTTAAGAATGGCTGTCCTAAGACAACGGAGGAATTGTTTTGTACTTTTTCAAACAAGTAATGTTGGATTCAGGGAAAAGAGTATGTAGTTGATGTTTTTCTGAAACCAGTCGTATGTTTATTTTAAAATTAATTTTACACAATTATAGTTGCTGCAGAAATAAAAGTAAATGGTTAAGCACCAGCAAGTAACTCAAAGTAAATACTTGAAAAGCATGCATCTTCCCTAAAGAAAGCAACATACGGATATGATAAGATAAGAAAAGATAGAGAAGTTAAAAAACATGGTAAGAAAGACATAAAGTATATATCAGCTTTACAAAACCAATTACAATAAATAAACAGAGGACGCTGCGGCGATTAGTCTTCATCAGCAGAACAACTACAAAAAGCAAAACACAACAGATGCAAAAATGAATTCAAAGAAATGGTTACACTACAATATAAAAATATTATGGTTAAACAAATACCAAAATAGTATTAAACACCGTTGGCTGTTTCTATGATTAGTAAGCAAAATAAATAAAGTACCCTTTTCACGCCAGTGGTGAAATGGGTATATGATACTAGACATATCGGTTCTTTCGTAATATCCTACCACAGAGGACGTCACATGATTGTGCAACATTTTAGATGGTGGTAAGTTTGGGTTTCCTAGCTTTCTAATGCTTTTTATGATCTCAAAACATATAGAACTGTTCCTAACGCCAACCCACCTACGTCCCACGAGAGAGTGCAGCCTGGGTCCCACGACTCCATGCAGCCTATCTACCACCCCCTGAAATATTAGACTGTTCCGTGACCTGGGAATTTCCTCTGTTTGGGGTTAGGATATTAAGAAAGCACCCACATATCTTTTTATAGACTTATGAATTCAATGGATGATGTGGTCACTATCACGCCGAACGCCTTTACATCCCAGAACTTTACCTGGTACTTATTTTAGCCTGGGTGGAAGTGGGAGCAAAGGTCAGATTGTGAGGAAAAAGGGGGGGGGGGGGCACAAATCCAAATTGATGCAGATTCTAACCTAAAACCTTCAGGTCAGAGGCGGATCGTCTAGCCGCTTATTCACTTAGGCCTTGTTGTCCCAAACACAAAAATATTTATGGTTTCTAGGGTCTTTGCAGCCTTAAAAGTCTATGGTTAAGCACCAGCATGGAGATCAAAATTATAATTTTGAGAGCATGCATCTTCTCTGCAGCAACATACGGATGTGAGTCGTGGACTATCTCCCAGTCCTTAATAAAAAGAATTCGGGCTTTTGTGCTGATATGCTATAGAAAGATTCTCAGAATATCTTGGACAAAAAGAGGAGAAATGCTGACATCTTGAAAGATCTGAACGTCAAGGAAGATTGGCTAATAAACAGCATCCTGTCGGAAGCTGAAATATTTTGGTCATACCAAACGCCACAACGGATTGGAAAACATTATAGCAGAAGGCATGGTACCAGGAAGGAGGGGCAGAGGCCGACCGACACGAAGATGGGCACAGGATGTAAGTGACTTCTTGAGTATGAAAGTGCACGAGGTGGGAGAGCTGACGAGAGACCGAGTTTCTTTCAGGCCGACCGTGATGAGAGCGACGTTCTGCAAAGGACCTGCTACATGATGATGATGAGGGTCTTTGCTTTTAATACTCAATAAGTTTAAGCAGTTGTAAACACTCCTCAAAGATTTCTCATCTCTGGATAGCAAGTTTTATAAGTGGCTTTCATTTTTGTTCTTTTGTATTCATATTTACCACAAACACGTCGATAGCTCGGCTTACAATTGACAGACAGTCGTGAGGTACCGTTGGAAAGTGCTTTTTAATATGTACTTAGCAGTACTGGTTTTAAAAGTAAGAAGTGATTCTGAAAATTTGGCTGAAATACCTAACGCTATTGTGGCTCCCTTCTATAGCCAGAAGGGGCTTATAAATAAGTAAGGGATTTATCTACCTTTTCTACCCTTTTCTACGCCTTTAGGCATATTGGGCATATATGACTAGACCTATATTTTTTATAGACCAATCGGCACTTTGTGGGTTATGTGGTCAGCACCACACCGACCGCCTTTACTTCCCAAGATTGCACCTGGTACCCACTCAAGACTGGGTCGATGTGAGAGCCAAGGTCATTTTGGAAAAAAGTCCGGCTCCACCAGGACCTGAACCCACGACCTTGCGATCCGCAGGCGAGCGTCCAGTCGCTGACACCACTGTGACTCTCGTTCCTAACAGTACGGCTCTACATTACCACATAGCGCCACTTTTGATTAATCAAAATATCAGTATGCACACACAAGAAAAGCAGCTGTCGAATGCACGGCTATTCGTACCAACTTTGTGCTATCAGTGACAGACAAGGACAATCCTAGACAAACATGAACGCAAACTTATAATATGTGAGAGGGTTTGTACAAGAAATGAGGCGGGAAAACCAGAAACAGTGTCCACCAACGAAGAACTAAGAATTCACAGTACCGTTAAGTGATTTCATAGAATATTCAAAAATCAAATGGTTTGGTCATGTAGTCAGAATACAACAAAATCAGCCAGCAGCTAAAAGGTCAAGAGGCTAAATGTCAAAAGCAGGATGAAAGTAAGGAAACCGACAAGAAATAGGACTAGTCCTATATATATATATATATTTTAATAGACCAATCGGCACTTGGTGGGTGATGTGGTCAGCATCACGCCAGCTGCCTTTACTTCGCAGGACTGCGCCTGGTGCCCACTCAAGGCTGGGTCGACTTGGGAGTCAAGGTCATCTTTAAAAAAAGGTCCGGCTCCGTCTGGACGCGAACTGACGACTCCCGATCCGCAGGCAGGCGTCTAACCACCAACGCGCACAGCCACTCTTAAACTTCTACTATATATAAATAAAATTCTTTTAAAACTTTTGCACACCAGCATGCTAATTTTTAAAGATAAATGGACGATCGATCACACGCCATTGGCTCGTCAGGGTTTTGGTGTTCGAAGCATATTTGTATAGACTAATCGACACTAGACGGATGACGTGGGCAATATCACTACGACTGCCGTTACTCTCCAAAACATTTTCAATCACCCATATTAGCCTGGAGAACCTGGGAGCCATGGGTCAGTTACTAAATGTCCATCTCTTTGCGAATTGGTAACCAAGAACCTTGGCCAGCTCAGCTTCCTACGTGTTCGTACTTATTTTGAATTATTTTCTTTTGTTTTCTTCGCAGCCCACAATGTCAAAATACAAAGTAGCCATCTGCAGAACCTGGAGATTTGGGTGTAGGAATCAAGACAAAATATTATGACTGAAAGAATGCAGGTGCACTGCAAAGGTCCAAGTATTGTTGTTTATGCAACCACGAAATGGAAACGAAATCTTACTAGGGGTGTTTATGTAATATCGGCTGTATTCCTGCTGATTGAGGGTTCTGCTATTTGCCCACCAGGTCGGAGGCCACCAGATTGCCAGAACGTTTGTAGGTTGGGTTATTTTGGCACTGACTGTGTCTTTCCCTGTCCTACAACATGCGAGAACAGAACTTGCGAGCCAGAGAGTGGCTTTTGTTACCGCTGCCAGCTTGGCTTCGCCGGGCTAAATTGTTCTCTCAGGTGTCACCGTGGCTTTTTTGGCCAAGACTGCAAATATTCATGCCCATCTGGCTGTTTTCGAAAAAAGTGCGACCCTTTTACGGGGTTATGTGGAAAATGTGTCCCCGGCTATGAAGGAGCAAGATGTGAGACGCATTATTTGCTTCGTAATCATACAAACGAAACTTCTAGGAGTCTCTCACACGGGGCCCCGTTGCAGAAATCCGAACAGACCTACACGTACGTAAACACAGCCATTTACATCTCTGCAGCGATTGTTATCTGCATTATGTCTTTGAGCAGTGTAGCTTTGTGCAGCTATCTTGAGAAACTGAACGCGCGGCAAAAGCATTTGAAGCAATTACCTATTTACAGAAAATACAACCTGAATGTGCTACCGTCTTCATTTCTTCGCTGGTCAGGAGCACCAGCAAAACAGGAGTATATTGAGATGGATGCTGTTGATGTGGAGTATGATACAGCAGGCGAAGCAGATGTGATACCTCATTTCGCTTCCAAAATGATGTCTGGTAGAAGAGCAATGGGTGCTGGAAAATGCTCTCAGTCCACTTTAAGAAATAATGGTAAACATTTGTTTGCCTTGCTAAATCTGTGGAAGGTAGGAGGGAGAGACGGCAAAAGATTGCCGGTGCTGCCAAAGGATACAGCGGAGTTCAGGCTAAATCAAGATGACGTTGCTGCACCCGAACTCAGGAACATTTTGAAGATAAATGCACCACTTCGGGTAGGACAGGCAGCTAACTATTCGCAAAATTTGTACTTTAAATCTACTTACCATCTCAACGGTTTCCGTCGGTTCCTGATGGAAGTAATGGTATTTTAAAGGAACAACAAGAGCTGATTCGGCCATTTCGATTAGGTGACCCGACAGCTGCCCTTTCTGTACTTGGTGAACAGAGATCTGAAAACGATACCAGGAACATGGAAGTTGTCGAGCAAGGTGGACGCGTAGCAACGGAATCAGTTGCCGGATGGTACAGACCAAAATCCAACAGTCAAACAGGTATCACCAGCGTATGTAGCTTCACGCCCAAGGATTCAGGCCAGAGGACGCATGCGATGCTTAATGTGAGTACACACAGAGATGTATTTCAGCGTGTTTAAGTACCAGATTTGCAGTTATACTTTCTTAGACTTTAAACGTAATACACCTATTAATGCTTTTTTTAAAATCTTTTTTGCCCACCACCCTCCCTCCCCCCACCCACCCCGCCTTCCAGGACAATAGGTTCTCAAATAACTCGCCCCTCTGTTGTCTTATTCTTCGGTCACCTGCAGCTAGCATCACGGCCCCTAACCCCTTCCTCTCTCTCTTTCCCAGCTTTTCCACATTACTATCTTTTCTATGTGTTTTGTGGTTTCCCTTTATTTCTTCGCATATGTGTGGGTTCCAGTAAAAGAACTTTCTATTTTATAGTGCTATCAAGTTTGCCTAATGTATGTTCTAATAACGTCAGCGTCTTTTCCTCAACTCCTTATTCCCGTTAGAGGGTCATTAAGCACAAACACCGTAGCTCCGGTGACATTCCACAAGGGTCTCGTAAAAATTGCTCTAGTGAACCGAACTAAGCAGCTGTCAAACGAACTCCCGACCTCCAGAGTGAATGACAAGCAAGTAAAGCCAGACTTTAACAAATATCTCGAAAACTGCCGTACGCATCAACACGAATTTTCCCATTTGATCTTCAAATTTCTTATGTTACTATGATTTTGTAATTTAAAATCGCACAGGTGTTGCTGTTTTCTTACAGCTAAGAATTTCCTTGATCCTTATCCAGCTAATAATTTGTGTTTCCTTTAAAATACAGCAAGTGTCACAAATCGTGTGCTTTTTATGAGCAAGAGGATATATGACGTGTTCATTTCACTATTCATACGTCCGCCTTAGTTTCTCGTATGGATTACCTCCAAAACACATTCCGTTTGATGTGTTGCCAACTTTGCCTCAAGCAATTTACTGTAAACAA